TTTTTTATTAAATCATATTTTTTCTTTAATTATATTACTCAATTATAACAATTTAATTATGTAATATTATACGATATGATTTCAATTATATAATGTATACGAACGATGTATAATATTTGCGATTAATATTTGCATGCTAGTTACCGGTGCAACACGCTGAACTATACGTGTAATCTTAAATAATAATAACAATAATAACGCACACACTCAACATAGCCCCGCACTAGGGAAACCCTGTGTCGCGGGTGCCATGGACACACACATAGATAACCACAAATTACACCCAAACTCACGAGAGAAATAAATGTAGTCCATACAAATATTTCTCCCGGCTCGGGAATCGAACCTGGGACCTCTGCGTGGCAGTCCAGCGGCATGGTAACCGTTCGGCCATGGAGGCAGTTTATAATAAGTAAACTGTAATTACCATGTAGGCTTATAAACAAATATATTTCTATCTCTCATTTCTAATATCGACATTTTCGAACTTAACACTCAGTCTTATGTTCAGTGGGATAAGTCCACAATTTATATGGCGAACGGCTATGGAGTGGAATTCCCTGCCTGCACGTATAACTTGTGCCTTTTCAAAGCGAGAGTGAATAGGCATTATTTGGGTGTGCATGCTCCATCATCGACCTCGTCGTCACTTTCCATTAGGCGAGAAGGAGGTCAAGTGCGCACTTATTTTTCAATAAAAAATAATTCAGTGAGAATATACCTTTTACAATTGTTTTCGGTACAGAAAAAAGCAGTAAAAAGTCTCTATAGAAGTGTAACACTTTTTTACACTATACTGCTTTTTTATATACTAGACAGTTAATAACTTAACATAGCGCAGTAGTCTTTCTTATTATCCTTATATTATTTATTTTCTTTTTAACAGTTAAAATGTGTTCAGTCACGGAGGCAGTTAGACTAAACTAATCACGCACCATTAATTAGAAGCAACATATCTTATTTTAAATATTCCTATACAATACATGTATGGTTTTATTTCATCGAAAGAAATTCCTCTACGCAATAGAATTCACTGCCCCATAAACGGTGTTTCAATCTGATATAAAACGCATTTTTTACGTAAGTAACGTAAACATAAATACGTAAGCCCTTTTCTATTCAATATGTAGCGATTTAAAGTATTACGTAGGGTGCACTATAAGTTTCCGGAATGAATAAGAAAAAATACTATAAATGGTCAGAAATGAATTTGTTGTTTCTCAAAATATTCTCCGTTAGCGTTAATGCACTTTTTCATACGAAAGTACCTATTCGGGAAATATTTATGCCACTCCTCCGTGACAATCTCTGAAACATACATATTTTTCATACTCTTCGACAGTCTCTTCAGGTGATGAAAATCGTTGACCGAGTAACTGGTTCTTAATTTTTGGAAATAAATAAAAGTCACAAGGTGCCATGTCGGGACTGTACGCGTGATGGCTCATAAGGTCAACGTAGTTCACCTTCAAAAATTAATTTGTCTGTCTGGCCTTGTGGGAACGGGCATTATCGTGGTGCAAGATGATAAGGCGTTTATGGCTAATTTTACGAAGTTTGTCAATAACTTCCGACAAACAAATGTCACTATTCACGGTACAACGCTTCTCCAAAAGCAACAGTAGCCACATGTCCAGTTTTATTAAAAAAAGAAGCAATCATCCGGTTAGAGGCACTTTGCACGCGCGCCACTTTACTTGATTTCGGCTCATCTCGAAAGACCGATACGCTCGATTGCTGCTTTGTTTTGGGATCGTAACTATAAATCCATGTTTCGTCACCTGTTACTATGTCCCACACCAAACTTGACGCCCCTTCATTGAATCTGGTAAGCATGGCATTGCACCAAGTGATGCGATCCGTTTTTTGAACCTCAGTCAAATTGTGTGGGATCCGACGAGAGCACAGCTTTTTCACACCCAAATGTTTGTGCAGTATTGATTGTATTTAACTCATGCCTATGCCTAAAGATGCCCATATCTCGTGGTACGTCACATGCCTCTGTCTTTTGATCATACGGCGCACAGCATCGATGTTTATGTTGTTTACAGCAGTGGACTGGCGACTATCACGAAATTCAACACTGAGATTCACACGACCGCGTTTGAGTTCTGCAAACCTGCTATAAATAATCGTCTTGCATGGTGCTTCATTGCCAAAAGCAGTTTGAAGCCGAGCGAAGCTCCGCTTAGCTGTTACTGTTTAGATGTGTTGTCCGCTTAGATGTTAATTACACTTAAAGTCATAGAAAATCATACTACGAAAATTTTACACGAGTTAAATCCATGATGATTTAGACAACCAATTTCTAAAATGACACCACAATGTAAAAGCAAGTGACAGTCAGATGAAACAAACTGCGTTCTACAGCCAAACAGTCCCATTTTCAAATATTGTTTCTACTTTTTAAATATTGTTTATGCAAGTGGCCAGTTCCGGAAACTTATAGTGCGCCCTATATAGATACATTTCATTTTGATATTAACGTTCATCGAGTGGACCAGTTCCAAATTGTATTTGCTTCTAACCTATACCAGGAGACTTAATTCCAAATTCGCATAATGGTTTTGGGTAAAATGACAAAAATTACAAAAGTTTGGGTAAAATGAAGGAATCTGCATGATAAACTCTATTCGACTATTACGCGGTTTATTATAGTCGATAATTATAATGAGAAATATGCATATAATTAAGGGCAAAACAGAAATTCAGTTTCTACCTAATCGGAACGCAGCGGGTAAAGCTTTCTTGGTATCCATTCAAATTGCACAATCTGCAATCGGAATCGGAAATCGGATTGATGCCGTACCTCAACTGAAATGCAAGAAATTTTTGAACTAGCATAAATACAATAGGACAGCTTACGAGCTTCTGGGCTTCGTCACGACGAAGCTCAGATCTAGTCAGAGAGCCATCTAGTATATAAAAAAGCAATATAGTGTATAAAAATGTTACATCTTTATAGATACATTATATTGTTTTTTGTCTACATCAAAAGCAATTGTATATTCTCAGTGTATTTTTTTATTAAAAAATATGTGGACATTTGACCTCCATTTTACCTGATCGAAAGTGACGATGAAGTCGACGATGGAGCATGCACACCTACATAATGCCTATTCACTCTTCCAATGAATTTCACTCCATGACCGTTCGCCATATAAACGTGGATTTACTGAACATAAGACTAACCGTTAAATTCGAAAATGTCGATATTGCAAATTACGATTACGAAGAATCTAGGTTTACGAACTTGTGTTACAGAATGTCGAACTAGCTGTGGTTTGGAAGCTTGTATTTTATATTGCTTTACTAGGGTAAACGAACATAATATAAAGGACGGAGCTTAACTTATCTCTGATCTAATTTTATTGAGGTCCCTCCTAGTTGACAGATCTAAACATCTGACGATAATAATGTTGTATTCCAAGCGCTTCATATACTAATTTTAGGCCTAACGCTTGTACATAACAGCAGGAAAATACTTCGTGTATTGTCCAGTCTAGAGCGTCCAACAGCGGTTGCTAAGCCGATTATGGACTGCCCAACGAGGATTAAGCTTTGAGATACACCGACATAGCCAGAAGAACATTATCTACAGCCCATAAAACGCTCCAATAAAATACGTATTATGGCCTTTATTGTGACGTGGGAATGGCTTTGGTATTACTTTTGTAAACAATAGTGACGTTTATTTATAATAATTATTTTGTACGTACCTTAAAGTAACTGAAATGTACAATAGTTATGATGTAATGGCTTTGCAATGACAGTGCTTATAATAGGCAAATTATTTTTAATCTAATTTTTATTAGTATTCTCAGATATTACCCCTCACTTATATACATTTTTATTTAATTTTTTATGAGTTCAATTGACGGGATGAATAAGTCGTGAGCCTGGTGGGCGGCAAGACGCCTACACATCAGTTATAATGCCACCCGGAGCAAATCGCAAAGATGTTATGAGTCACTGCCCCTGCGCTTGTCACCGTGAGGAATAAAACGCAAAACCGCTTCAAAACCAAAACGCAAAATGCTCACGCTATTACATTGCGGCAGAAATATGTATGGTGAGCGCTGCTAGTATTATTATGTATGTGAAACAATAACGTATAGTTGTGCCTGGAAATCTTAAATAACGTAAGAGAAATATGGAAATTCTTAAGTAAGTAATTAGTTTTGTGAGAAATTCCAGCTGACGCCGACCTTACCTGAGTAAGGTACAAAACTCCGAAAGAAGAAATGTTTAAGTCACGACGTTTCATGAAAAAAGTTACCCAGTGCTTATTGTTCTTTTGTTTTAATTAAAAACAGTTCTCTTAGATCGAGCCCTTCTTTATTGCGTAATTGATTTGGTCACAAAAAAAAATATTTCCGCCTATAAGGAAAAGTTACATTGTTTCAAATGTAACTTCGAATTTTTCAGCAACTGTAAAAAGCCATAAGCCTTTCAATGCGCATGTGGTTCATAAGGGACATTTAGATACAAGGTAATACAGTACAGATACCAGGTGTGCCAGTGCAACAGCAAAGTAAAAGTAGGGAAGTGAAGTTCATCAAGTCATAATTACATTTTTAACACTATTTAAAATTATTTCACGAACATTTTAACAACTGCGAGTAGCACTACTTATTGCATAACATTAGTAGCAGTAGAGCTACTTGTGAAAGAGTTCATCCAGAGAAGTACGGTCGCTATTCCTGTCACTATCGTCAAGCACTAATGTGAGCATTACCGTGTTCCAGTTTTCTAGGCCAAGCGTACTGGTGAAATTACTGGCACATAGGACTTGTATACTGATATACATATATGTTCAGGGTTAAGAGGACAATGGCCCATTAGATTTTTATGATTCAAAGCTCTGAATGGCACTTCATCTGTTACGGGCAGGCGCGTTGCTTACCACTAGGCGCATGATTTATTCATCTCGTCATTTGATAATCATAAAAATTATGTTTATACACCGCATCAAATTTAAACCTGACTCTCTTACTTACCTTTTTAGAACAATCTCTCCAAATAATTCGAACAACATCAGCTCCTTCTATCCACAAATCTGCTACAAATCGGCTCATGTATGTATCAGTATCTTCTTTCTGGTCTCCATAGCAATTTGAGATTAAATTCAAGCATAATAACAAAGTTACCAGCCTCATAATTTCAGATATTTGTTGAATTGCTCTCATTTTGCCTTCACTTGTGCCATCTCTCGCAAAGGATTCCTGAAACGTATAATAGGCGAAATGGCTAATAGTCCGGATATTTATATATCCTGACTAAGTGCAGCCTATGTCAAATGTAATGAAGGAATAGTTCAATTTTATATGTAAATCTTTATTTACATAGAAATCTTGTTATTTATTTCTGGAACATTTTTATTTCGCTATTAAACGGATTCCGTTATTACGCCAAATAAAACTTCTAAATATTTAACGTTTACTGTTTTCGTATTTCTGTCACAGATTAGAAAAACTTCTATTAATATAATCAATAGAGTAATTGATCCAGAAAGAAACTTTTGACTAGGTTAACTTTCTATATCAACAAATATGAGATTAATGACAATTCAGATAAAAATTTCTCGAAAACGTTTGCAGTTTCCTTTTATAGGTAAATAGATATAGCAAAGATAAACTTTGAAAGCCCGTTAATAGATTTACGGAGCTTGTCTAAGGATTACCTACTAGTAATCTCGGAGCTTAAGATTCATTAGAGATACTATCGAATTCAAATAGGACTCACCAAGTATAAAACAGACTTATAAAACACTATCGATCACTGTCAAGGTCACACATTGAATGGCAAACCATGGGTGACCCCCTTAGATTTTATGGGCGATGGAAAGCCAGCTATTTTCTACGTGATCACAAACCAAAACATGTTAATAAGTGACCATGCCTAAGTAAGTAACTATTTGTTCAATGGCATGACGAACTGATACACAGACGTACCCGTCGATAATTCTAATATTATAATTTTGTGACGGTAGGAAAATTGCAGAGCCATTGGTACATATCATAACCGTAAGTTTAAATATATTCTGAAGTCACATTAAGGGACCTTCAACACAGAATCTCACAGATGAATATCCACACAAATTTGTAGCTCAAAATTGTGCAAATATCTGAAATCGAAATTCCTTATCAGGTCTTGCAACAATCCCAAAATAGACTATGTTAAAGTTATCTGTGTGTGTCACGTTCTACATCCATTAGTCTGCATTTCTTGGTTCATTGATCCATACGGTACCTGCCTGCTCAAAAAACAGAATAAATATGTTCGGAATCCGGAATTTTGGTGGCTCGGCGTTCAATTTGTCTGTACTTTGCCAAGTTGAATAACCACGTAAGGTGTTCTACATCCTTTTAAGGCTATGTTGAGAACATGGAATCAAATACCTTTAGCTGTAGGAGCTCTCTGAAGCCACGATAAAAAGCAGCTATATATGTGTATTGCTTTTGTTGGGTCAAGCAAGTACGAACATTTACTATGGTAGAAGGTATTGGTTATAAGTTATAGGATATCAGCTAATATATTTAGAACCTTGTTATATGACACTAAATTCATACTTTTCGTACAATAATATAAATTTAAATTATATTAACTGCGCTATTTCACATTATTGACAGTTCAATAAATTGAAATATTATTCCACCATACAGATTGACAATGGATTAATACGAATCACTGAATCCTGCGCGAGCAAATGTATAACGATTATTTTGGATAACTGAAAAGGAACCTTTATATTCCACGTGTATGTGAGCTTTTACTTTAAATTTCACGTTCGACCAACCGATTAATAAAGGTATAACAGCAAATTATGCTATCCAACAGTTCACAAAACTAACTGACCGGACGTTACCCGTCTTTGTTATGCAGATCACGCCCAACCCCCAGAATAATTTAACTTCGACTTGAAAAAACTTTAGTATTCCCCGCACAAAAGGGTGTATCATCGGAATACTCTTTTTAATGCTTAGTATCTCCATATAATGTATTTTACGACGCTAGGCATAACGCCTGAGATCACTTTTAATCCCGACGTACCCAATAAGGGTGCTGACCCCAAATAAATGGGAAAAGGAAAAAGGATGACGATGATGTACGTGTAGTATCACATACAGCCTGACTACTTGCTATAACTTTTCTATAACTGATAAGTTTTGGGTCCGGAAATGGCGGCGTTGTCTAACATCAATACTATAACCTCTGCACTGAATGAAGAGATCTTGGATTCGATTCCCGATAGGACTAATTCGTCCAGGGATGTACTGCCACCTTACCTGTTTCTGCCGCCATGCAGTAATGTGAGCATTATTGCGTTCCGGTTTTAAAGGGTGCTGGTGTAATTACACTACTTGTGTCTCGGGGAACGGGCGCGGTGACAGTGCAGAAAGTTCAGAGTGGCACTGCAACTGTTATGGACTGGTATGTAGCTTATCATCAGGCGTACGACTTGTTCGTCCCGTCACTCAGCATCATAAAAAAAGGACGAATTTTGAAAACGAACTTTTTTTAAATTTATCCTGGTCTGTGTGATCTGAGTAGTTATCATTATAATCTACCTATCGCAGTCTACTACTAGACATAGGCCTCTGCCAATGTGTGCCATTTCGCCCGATCCTCAGCTTATCGCATCCATCTGCTGCCAGTAGCCTTTCGCAGGTCGTCACTCCATCTGGCCAGCGGGTGATCTACACTACGTTAAGGTAGTGCCCTTGAGTGACTTCACGGAATTCGAATCACATTCTCTAGTTTGATACCTGTAGGGCTAGCACGGGAGGGCGCGACTTGCGCGAGAGCGACATAAACCCGAGATCTCTATGTGAGAATAGCAATACCTCGGGCTTCATGTCGCTCTCGCGCAAGTCGCGCACTCTTGTGTTAGCCCTACAGATGATTGGTGTTATTATTGGGTACATTATTATTATTATCATTATCAATGTTCATAGGTTTTTATCACGTGCTCTCTGCAGAAGTTCGGTTCGGTTCGGAAGAATTGCAAACGTAACTAAATTACTTATAACTTTTTTTATAAAAAAAGACCTCAAAAGTTCGTGGAATTACATCTACTTGCCATGTTTTATTGAAATCGGTTACCGGAAAGCGCGCGAAACCGATTTCATCCCCTAGTTTCACATGCACATTGCATATACAGGTGGAATATTTTCTTCAAAATTAAATGGCACCAATACTGGGTTACCCTCTATCCAACAAACAAAGAGTATTCGCGGAACAAACATACAAAAAAAAAAATACAGTCGAATTAAGAACCACCTCCTTTTTTTAAGTCGGTTAATAATAGTTTTTATGTATTTTATAGCTTAAGCTTTCTGTGTAAAGGAGACCCATGTGACGTAAAAGAGTTGATAGCAAAATTATGTTTTAATTTGTCAACACTCTATAACTACTTACTAATTTAAATGTCAGGTGGGCGAGTGAAATAATAAGTAGATCGTTCAGAGCAAGTTTCGATCAATGTAGGCATCTGTTTATATGATAAAAGGCATTCAATGTTTTGCTTTTAGTAAGAGACAGGAAAACGTAAGACAAATGGTCGTGGCGGATGAGTAAAATCGGCTACATTGATTTTATTTATGTTCAGATGTTGTGTTTTTCCCTGGATTTAACGCATGCGGATCGTTGTTCATAATTATAAATATAATTAATACTAGATGTAACCGGCGTTGCGATGACACTAAAAGAAAAAAGACCGTTTGTCAATGATCTTACATACGCAAAAAAAGGCTGTTTGTCTGTAAGAGACCTGTAGTAGTCCAAGCGCCCAGTTACACAACGCGAAAGTTTACCCGGCCCAGTTACCACGCATTCATGTGCATTATTTACGAAATTCTATTTACTAGGCAACAATATTGAAATTCCTCTAAATAATACAACCGCGCGGCCGCCGCGCAGTCGGCCCTCGGTCGACGTGCGGTCGCCGGGCGGTGAGCGCAATGAAATTCGTGTTGAATAAATGGGCCATGAGAGCGTTTGCATACTACGTCCGATTCGTATCTATAATAATAATAATAATAATAACGCACACACTCAACATAGCCCCGCACTGGGGAAAACCCAAATTACACCCAAACTCACGAGAGAAATAAATGTAGGCCATACAAATATTTCTCCCGACCGGGGGATTCGAACTTGGGACCTCTGCGTGGCAGTCCGGCGTGGTAACCGTTCGGCCACCGAGGCAGTTATATCTGGGGGTCTAATCTCGATCTCCGTCCAACATCCGTCCGAAACAATTACTGCCAAATAAGCAATATTTGACCAAATGAAAAGACGCGTGATGCGAATGAAGCTTCATACTGGATACTTGTCTTTTAATTTTGTCAATATTTCACAGTAATGGTTTCGGATGGATGTCGGACGGAGATCGAGAGTAGCCCCCTAGTTCCGAATCCGAGATATGACGATCCGAAATGTCACAAAGATCATTTTATCTATAGGTGTAGAAGCAGTACTCGTATTTTCTCGGATTCGAATGGGACTTAGTGCACAAGCGACATCCGAAGTGGGTCCGATTTTTCTAGTTTCGTATAGTCCCGGATTCGGAACAAATACGAATCGGGTGCAATGTGTAAATGTGCTGATGGATGAACCTACCGCCTCTCAAGCAGAAGACTATGGGTTCGAATCTCGGCTCACACCTCTTGAGTTTGTCGGAATTTGTATGCGAAATTTAATTTGCAATTTACCATTTGTTTTCGGTGAAGGAATACATCATGATGTTGTGTGAAGTTTAGGAACTTCACATACATCGTTCCTTTTTGGGCTGTAATAACGCGTATTAGGATACGCGTTGAACCCGCGTGGGAACTACAGCCCAATTTTAGTGACTATACAAGCTAACTATTATTATTTAGGGGAAACCCATGCCCAAACGTGACATTTAATACTTCAGAAACTTTTGCGGACGTAGACACAGCAACACTCGAAAGTCAATCGAATGAATGATGGGTAACGGAACGTATAAATAAAAATATATTTAGTAATTAAGTAATAATATATTTTTATAGTTCAAATGTTTCTAAAGATGTTCCAGACATGAATATTTTGACCGTAAACATTTACTAAATACTACAATTATGTACACCTACCATGCTATGTATTACTTTGACGTTGTCAGAAACTTCAGCTATTAAGACAGTTATAAACTGACGTTACTGACCCTATGTATTTCTGCCGTCTAGCAGTAATGTGAACATTACTGTGTTCCGGTTTTGAAGGGTAAAGGTGTTGGTGAAATTACAGGCACATGGGTCTCAAGGTGACGGGCGCAGTGGCTACTGGTAACAGTTATGGGCAGGCGTGTAGCTTACCATCAGGCTCACGACTTACTCGTCCCGTCACTTGAAATTATAAAAAAAACTTTGGTATTATAAAGAAAAAAAGTTTTTCACCCCAAGGTCGACATTCGAGGACCGCCTTACACCACGAGGCATGCTTTCTAACAACGTGACCCGCCCGAGATGTTTAGATCTATGATATTTGAAATTAACATAAATATTGTAAATGATAAATGTGTGCAAATATTTATTTACAAAGAGCTTTACTACAGTTTCTTATTCATTCTTCTCAGGTGAATCCTCGACCATGGCTGTAACGAGAAGAAAAACACCCGAGGGTTTTATTTGGGACATTATAGTCAAGTTAGCCCGCATGCAATTATACTATTTACTCGCAAATATGATGAAAAACATCGTACATTTCACAGGCGATACGGTAATTACGGACCTCGACTCCGAACTCCGACTCGACTC